ACACACACACACACACACACACACACACACACACACACACACACTGTCCCTACAGCTCAGTGGGAGGAAGTGACTGAGCCTTGGGAGGGGGTTGGGGGCTCCCGGGACACTGAAGAGCCGGGAAGGTGATGTCTGCAAGAGCCCAGGGCCTTCTGGGGAGAGGGCACCCCCACCCCTGACTTCCTGGCCGTGATGTCCTGGCACCCTATTTAAACCTTTCTCCACTGGGACCCCAGCACCCAGGTTCTTCCCTGGGGCGCCCCCACACACAGCTTCTCCTCTTGGGGAGAGTCTGGTTCCTCCTGCGGAAGCCGCTGAGCCTGGCCCTCCCCGCAGACCTTCCTGTTTATGGTGCTGTGTCTGTGTGTACCCGGGAGCGTGCCTCACGTGGTCTGAGGCCCTTTCCTGCCTTGTCTTGATCGCCATGGTGGTGCCCTTGCCCCGGATGAGGAAACTGAGGCCAGAGGGAGGAAGTGCTTGTCCGCAGCACCCTGAAGGCCTGGGGGCGCAGAGCCCTGGTCCCACCTCCCGGTTGGGACCCTTCCTTCTCTGTTGAGACCCGGGATCTCAGGGCTGCCTGGTCACTGGGCCCCAGGAGAGGGTCCTTGGGTGCCCAGCCTGGGTGGCTGGCCCTGGCAGGACCAGGTCTGCAAAGAGAGGAAACAGCTGCCCACTCCCTGCCTCGAGCTCAGTCCCAGATGCCAACTAGGCAGCCAGAGGGAGTACCTGCCGGGTAGCTCGGCAGCCAAGGGGCCGCACATGCCTCACTCCGTTTAACCCTCACAACAGCCCCCGAGGGGCAGGCACTGAGGGTCCTGTTTTATAGGCCAGGAAACTGAGCACAGTTAAACAGAGGTAGGAGATGAGTTCACTCAGTTGCACACTCTCACCTTCTGCCCCCAGCACGAGGGGCAGAGGCTAGAAACCTCGTCCTTTGAGGCAGAGTTGAGAAAAGGCAGGATGCTCAAATTGAGGAAGAGGAAGGGAGACCGGGGGACACCCTGCCATCCCACTGCCTCTGGGTCCTCTTTGTCTCCACCCTTTGAGCCCTTTGGCTTACCCGTCTCTGTGATCTTGGCCAAGGCTCTCTCCCTCTCAGGCCTCAGTTTCCCCGTCTGCACAGGAACAGGAGGGTCTCGGAGCCTCTCTCAGCTCTGCCAGCAGGAGCAGGCCTGAGCTGGTTAACTCTCCAGGGCTGGGCGCCCGCCCCAGCTGGTTAAGGGCGGCCGGGTGGCAGGTGGGCCTTTGTGGCAGCTCGCGTGCGGCCTTTGTCCCGGGGAGAGGGGGTGGGCTGGGGGAGGCCCTTTTTTGTGATCCATGGGGAGCCTTTCCCTTCCCCACAGTCCCCTCGAGGGCGGTGGGTAGGGGTGGGGGGAGCGCTGTGGGCCCCACATCTCCCCTCCCCTGCAGCAGATGGCCCCCAGCCGCCCCCTCCCCTGACCCCAGCAGGCTGACTGTCCTTTTGTTTTCCTGTGAGGTTTTAACCATTGTCAGAGTCTCCTCCTTAAACAAATTAAATGCAACCCTTGGCCCAGAGGAAACTCTGCCCACTGCTCTGTGCCAATCTCCGGGTTCCCAGGGACGGGAACACGGGCCTCATGCGCCCCGCCCAGCCCCCCGGCCCTGCTGCGGGACCCTCTCCTTCCCCCTCCCCCCACCGATTCCGGCTTATTCATCCATCGGCAAACATCCCTGACCCATTTGGCCCACGCTCCCAACTCGAGAGGGTTCCACTATCTGGTGGAAAGTTTGCCAAGGAGCAGGGCAAGAAAAGCCTGATTTATTTTACTGGCTCTCTGGGGGCAGTGTGGAAAACAGGCTCCCGGTGGGGGCAGGACCGAGCAGGGAGACCAGGGGAAAGGTGACTGCAGCCAAGCAGGCAGGAGTGGGCTGGGCCGCTGGGTGGCCGTGGAGGCCGGTGAGGAGAGGTCGCATCCTGGGTAATTTGTAGGTTGGGTGAGCAGAATTTGCTGACACGACTGGATGTGGGGTGTGAAGGAAAGAGAGGAGGCATGGTGACCCCAAGGTGCTGGGTCCCAGCCAGATGGGGAGGGCCCAGAGGAACACAGGTGGGCGGGGGGGGGGG